TATCTCCAAAGCTGGAACATTCCGTATCTATTATATAAATAAAATTTGAACAGGCTAAGTTCAGCTCCAAAATGTGTTTTAAAAATTGGTTAATGTCTTATTAAAACTTTAAATCCCTTCTGTGGGGATTTTGTCGTCATGAGCCAAACACAATTTTTACTTGTCAAAGTGCAAAACAATCTCAGTGCAATTCTTTAGTACATTTACAATTGATATAAAGAAGTGTTAGGATAACAACTTTAAAATTCCCAGAGAACAGTAATCTCCAAGAATAGTTTTTAATAAGATGATCAGGAGCTGTCTCTAAAGAGGATGGGAATCTGAAACATGAAGTATTATTTATTTATTTTATTTGTTTGTAAAATTTATTAGTCGCTCATCTTATCACAAGGTAACTCTGGGTGGCTTATGGGATGGTTAATTATTAATCTTATTTATTTAATTATTGTGGATATATACTAAATTGGGGCCTAGACATAATCTATGATCAGTGAATGTATTGCAGCATTGATTATATTACTACAGTGATAATAAAGTTAGTGACCCGAACCGGAATTTTAGCTTCATTTCAATGTTGTCTATGCAAATTATAGTTTTCCTTGGCATCCAAAAGGGAATTTTTTGTTTGCATTTGATCTTTGAAACGTAACCATTTCAAAGCATTGTGATTTGATGTGCAAGTGCAACATCAAGTGCAACAATTCTGTCAAGGTGGCTTGGGGCACAACATCAGAGAAGGACTTGGCCATCATCGACAGCAAGCTGAAAAAGAGGCACATTGTGCGACATCTGCTAACAATTCTGGGGTGCATCAGAACACCCCTCCTTTCATATGGAATATTATAAATGATTCTGGGCACCACATTTCCAAACAGATACTGTTAGATAATATAGGTTCAGAAGAAAATTTAATGCAGAAAATTGAGAATAAGCCCTATTGTGGGGACAGATTGAAGGAACTTGGGATGTTTCATCTAGAGAAAAGAAGACTAAGGGGAGACATGGTATTTGTGTTCAGTAATATAAAAGGGACTTGTAGAGAAGATAGCAAGAAACCATTTTCCATTGCCATAGAAACTAAAACCAGTAATATTGCTTATAAGTTGCAGCTATAAAGTTTTAAATTTAAATACAAGGAAAAATTTACTGTTAATAAGATCTGAACAGCTGTGAAAAAGTCTACCTATCGTAGTTGTAGATTCTTCATTTTTGGAGGGGGGTTTTTTAAAGTGCCATCTCTCACAGATAGTTTAGTTTTCTCCACAAATTGCAAAAGGTTGAACTAGTTGATATTTGGGTCTATTCCAACTTTACAGTTCTTTCATTTTGAGATTCTGTGCACCTGCATTCTTGCCCTTTTTCAACATTCTTAACAGCGTTGGTTGTTGGTTATTTTTTCCTTCAGTACTAGTATTTATAGCATTGGTTTTTGTTTCATCATTTTATCATATAACTATGATACAATAAATTCTTATACAAATTTCCAAATATTTTCTCCAACATTCCCTCACATCAGCTTCATCCCTGATCATTTTATCACCTTAAAATTTCAATAATTCCAAGGGCGTCTTGTTATCCCTCTTGTCTCATTTCTGTAACAATTTGTCTCTTAATCTTAACTGTTGCTTTGATTACATTATTTTTAACTATGCAGCAATCAATCTTGTTACGTTCATTTTTCTTCTCTGCAGCCTCTTTCATTTTATGCTTCCTTCAAGTTTTTCTCATTTTTTCCATTTAATTTGAGATATGCCCTTACTATAAGCAAGCACTCATGAAGCAGATCACATCTTCATTTATTGTAGGCTCCCCAAATGGCCCTGTCACTTCTTTGCTTTCTTGTCTTTATCCATTCATGTCCCAGAATCATTATTTCCTTTGGGTTACAATTGTTCAGAACTTTCCCCCAAACCCACCTCAACTTCTCCCATCATGACCTTTCACTGAAGTATAATATGCAGCTACCACCAATCGATTAATTCTATTTTCACATATGCTATAACATTCTAAATAACAATTCCTACTTCCTGACCTATATTATAGCTCTGTCATTCATTATTACACTATAGGTAGTACTCAAGTTACAACCACAACTGAGCCCAAAATTTATGTTGCTAAGTGAAACATTTGTTAAGTGAGTTTTTTTACGACTTTCTTGCTACAATTAAGTGAATCATTGCGTTTGTTAAGTTAGTAACATGGTTGTTAAGTGAATCTGGATTCCTCATTGATTTTGCTTGTCAGAAGGTCTCAAAAGCTGATCACATGACTCCAGGACACTGCAACCATCATAAATATGAACCAGTTGCTAAACATCTGAATTTTGATCATGAGGATGCTGCAATGGTTGTAAGTGTGAAAAACAGTAATAAATCATCTTTTTCAGTGCCGTTGTAACTTTGAACAGTTACCAAATGAACTGTTATAAGTCAAGGACTACCTTTATAAGTTTACTTCCCTGCATGTACTAATCAACTACACATCACAAGATCAAATTGGGTTTGTTAATATCTGTTACAATCTTCCTCCTTCTCTTAGTTCCCCAAACATACAAGTATTTTTCATTTCTTTTCTTAATTCATGTGCTGTCATTTACTCCTTACATTTTAAGTAAGGAGTGTTTTATACACAGTTGGCACTAGGTAAACCCATAGATATTTAATGTTTCCTTCACTCTTCATGATTGACTCAATGAAGGTTTTCCATAATGTTTTTTGTAGGATGAAGTGGATTGCCAGCTTTAGTTGAAGTTGTGCCACATGTAGTTTTTCCTGTTTAACTATAACAGGAGTGGCCAATATGGGCATGTATTGGCCAAAATGTCACTTATGCAACCAGAGCCCAGAATGCTCAAAGTGTCATGCAAGGTAGAATCTCTAAATTTTAACAATAGCAAGTTTTAACATAAGCTAGGTTATTGTTTGGAGGAGGATTACTGTTAAAAATCCACAATAAGAGAAAGGATAATTTTAATATTTTTAATTACTAGACCCTTCAAATCTTAGCATGACTCTTGGTTGAGATTTTGTTGCAACTTTTTTGTTATTATTCCATAATTTATTTTTATGCTACTTCTATCTTTAATTTGATTGCTTGTTATGCTAGTCCTTCTCTTCGATAAAACATATAACACAGAAAATAACTCATATAAGCAAGATTAGAAAAATCATCAGAGACAACTTCTGGAAATAAGTGATTCTTCCTTCTTCTCACCCTGCATCATGTCTGACTTACTCAGTAGGTCCTCTGATCTTCCAAGGACTCTGATTGGGAGGTTGCCAAGGGAGGAGCAGGACAGGAAGCCAAGTTCTATCAGCTACTTTGCATAAGGTTTTCTGTAGGAAATACATGCAGTTGATTTTACTTGAATTTACTCCTAAATAAATGCAAAGTTGTGTATTATTTTTGTAGTGTTAGATCCAATTGTGTGCAGAACTGCAGTAACTAATTTATGATCAAAAGCAGTCCTCGCTTAACCACAACTGAGACTGGAGTCTAGGTTGCTAAGCAAAGCAGTCATTAAGTGAGACATGTGACTATTCACATGACTGCTTTGTTCAATTACTGCAATCCCCACACTCCTCTCTGTGGTCTTTAAGTGATTGCATGGTTCATTAAGCAGACTGTAGTCCAGGATGTCTCTGGCAGAGGGAGACTCTGGGAGGCTCTGCTCAGGAGCTGAAAATCTTCCCTGCTGAAATCCTGAGGGAGAGACACTCATGCATAGCCTGTGCCGAGCTTCCCCCCCCCCTTTATGTTACTGTGCTGCCTCACTGCTTGAGCTGGAACACTTTAGATTCTCTCCCTCTCGTTTCTAGGGATTGGTTGAAAGAACTGCCTATCGAAGGATATCAGCTCTTCTCTATCACAGTAGGGAATTCCTTCCATGGGGTGCAGAAACTGAGCATAAATCATCAGAAAGGATATCAGCTCCCCTCCAAAATGTGAAAGGGAATGTTTTCAGCAGGGTGCAGGAATGGAGTTAGATCTTTAGGATCTAAGTTTGGTTTCTCCACCCCACTGAACGTCAGCCAGCCTCCATAGACCAAAGAGAGTGCTCTAGACAAGTGGTAGAGAAGATTAAAAACGACAATCTTCTTACCTTCTTAAGTGTGAACAGGTTGTTAAACCCTGATGACAACCATGTGATTTGGGGAGAAAGGTTGGTGCGACCGTTTACGATGGTCAGAAGTACTTTACAGGCTGTAAAGCATCCTTTCTTAGGCCATCATCGTAAGCTTGAACGTCATTAAACGATCAGTCATAAAGTCAAGACTACTTCTATGTAAATGAAGAAAATCTATATAAATAAAAATGTAAATGTTCGTTTGTTCAAAATCTTAAATCTCCGAAAGTTCTTCAGCAATTGCTTTGAAATTTTGACACAACGTTGCATTCGAATACGCGCGTGTTTTTATATACCTACTATTATATAGATGTCACACCTGTGACAGGTAAAAACATACTTTTTTGAAAAACAGCGCCATCTGTTGGACGTAAAAGCAACATACGCTACGATTTTACGATTCCATTTCAATGTTTCCGATTTACGATCCATTTACAATTTCCAAATTGCCATTTTAATTTAAGAGATTGCAATTCCCAATTCGATTGGCGTTTGCAATCACCATCAACAAAGCTCAGGGCCAATCTTTAGAATTGTGCGGTTTAGATCTAGACACGGATTGCTTCTCACATGGACAATTATATGTTGCGTGTTCTATAGTTGGCAAACCAGACAATCTCTATATCTGCACAGACAATGGAACAACAAAAAATATTGTATACCCACAAGCATTGGGAAATTAAACATATTACAAACGTGCGCTTTCTCTTTTCTTTCTTTTCCATTTAACCAGACTGAGCCACAGCAACGCGTGGCCGGGTATAGCTAGTTTCTAATATAACAAAATAATAACTAATAAATATCTGTTTATTATTTTTATAATAAATATTCTTTATTTGTTACATGTGAATGATGATGATCATGATTATTATAGATAACTAAATGACCATGGAATCTGGTGCAGAGAACCAACAGAGTGGAGATGCAACTGTTACAGAGGCAGAAAATCAACAGATGACTGTACAGGCACAACCACAAATTGCAACATTGGCCCAGGTATAAATTTGTACAGACTGATTTATTTCCCATCTGTGGAATCTGCAACTTTATGGGTTGATGAACAAATTGGAAATTTTGTGACATTTTTATGGCATTTTCAAAGGAGGCTAGTGGTGGGACACTCATTTACAAAATTCCTGCCATAGTGAAATAATACATTTTAAAGCACTAAAGTTATTTTACACACATTTTATATACTTTTTAGAATCAGTAGAAAATAGCATCAGCTATTTAAGATATTTTTAAAAATATTTTAAACAGTAAATTTAATAAGTCAATTTTAGAACCTTAAAACTCTTAAAATTATGTAAAAGTCTCTATTTTGTTCCTTTGGAAAAAGACGTAAGGATATTTTAAACTCAAAATGTCCAAAATGGCCGCATAAATCTGAGAATGTTTTAACTTGTAATGTTTTATGCATCTGTGTAAAGCATGAATGTACCAAAATACAATCTGCCAATGTAGTCCTTACTTCTACATAGTTTTATTCTTTTCCAACTATGTAGGCATATTTCAAATTAAAGCTATTCACCATTTTATGGGGTCTATTTGATACTAAGAGGTAGTTTTGGAAATAAAGCTGAGCATGGAGACTGGCAATTTGCTTTACAGAATACTTGCATTCTTTTTTTTTTTAAAGTCAGATACAATAAGAAATATGCTAGTTGCCCTGTAGTGTTTAATGACACATTGTAGATTCAAGAAGTAGCCTTGGTAATAATCATTAAGTTAATTTTGTGGCTCCCATTCAAAGCAAAAAGCAAAAAAAAACACCACTTATTTTTTTAAACATTTAGAATTGTAATATTGTATTTTAATTGAAACAATTAAAGGCTTTTAAAATCCTATTAATTGCAGTAAGTCAAACACAGCCTTTCAATATATTGTGAGTAGACAAAAAATAATTGTTTTCTTAATAGTTGTATCAACGAGAACAATATTCACCTATATAAATTTGCCTATACAGGTAGTCCTCAATTTAAACAACAGTGACCGTTCGAAGTTACAGTGGCACTGAAAAAAGGAACTTATGACCATTTTTTAGACTTATGACTGTTGTAGCATCCCCAGGGTCACATGATTTATATTCAGATGCTTGACAACTGATTCACATTTATGACGGATGCAGTGTCCTGGAGTCATGTGATCACCTTTTGTGACCTTCTGATAAGCAAAGTCAATAGGGAAACTAGATTCACTTAACAATCATGTTATTAATTTAACAACTGCAGTGATTTACTTAACAAATGTGGCAAGAAAAATTGTAAAAGAGCAAAAATTTACTTAAAAAATTTCTCACTTAATAACATAAATGTTGGGCTCAATTGTGGTCGTAGATTGAGGACTACCTGTATAATTGGTGCAAGGGATAACTGATTGGATTAGCAAGGGATAGAAGGAAAATTTAGAGTGGGAAAATGCAGAGAGTATTATACAGCTGCTAGACTTACTATACTTCTGTTAGAAAAATATTCTGATTCCAATAACTAATATTCATTTTCATAGCACTTTATATGATCAACTGATCATAACTTCTCACTGAGTATGGCTAGCAAATGCTTCAAATGTAAGAATAGTAAATTGTTCAAAAGTACATTGCACAACCTAATGTGAACACTTATATGAAAAATATAGTAGATTTTTAGGGATTTGAAAATAAAATATTCACTGGTTTGCAATTAGCTTTAAAAGTTAGTACTAAGTCTGTACAAAGCAAAAGGATATTCACATCCTTGGAAGTTTCTGTCTGACGAAAAACTGAAATGATGACTTCTGATTCATCATGAACAATGTGCACATTCACAATTCCTGCAGGATCCCTGTAGCATGTCACAAATAGGTAGTAATTTTTTGCATATTGGAAGTTTCATAATTTTATAGATCTAGCTACATAAAGTTAATGATATTAATTGCATCAAAGGAAAGCCTACATAACTGATTGTAGGTACATATTTCTAGATTTCTTACAAAAGCTAATCATTGCTAATTTTATCCAAGTGGTTCAAATATTGCATCCAAATATATCTGCTTAACAAAGTCTGGTTATATAACTGGAATAGAATGTTAACTTAGGAACTTTGGTAGAAGCAAGGGTTGGTGCAAGATAGGCAGCTGGTGAGATCTGGGAATCTGTGGCAAGCCACACAAGAGTCATTTAGGAGTTGCAAATAGTCTGCCAACTGGGAGTTTCCTATTCTTACATTGACATTAAATCTTTTTAAAATGTGTCACTCTTTCATTAGGTATCCATGTCTGCAGCTCATGCAACATCATCTGCTCCCACTGTGACCTTAGTGCAGTTGCCTAATGGACAGACAGTTCAAGTCCATGGTGTTATTCAAGCTGCCCAGCCATCGGTTATTCAGTCTCCGCAAGTCCAGACAGTTCAGGTAAATTGAAGGTATTTTTAAAATTTCCACAAAAACATAGAACTACTGGGAAATTGCTTTATACTGAGCTATATTAGCCATATATATACCTATAATGTACCAATTTAATTTTATGAATGTGATTTCTTTTTTTAAAAAAGTATTTTATTAATTTTCTGTTATTATAATTCATTAGTGCTTAATGAACAAGGTGTTTGGGTTAATTTTTTGCTTAGTAATAGAAGTTAATTTCTTACTCTCTATCTCATTTTTCTAGCCATTGATAAAATAAGTTCCATGTTTGAAAATATTATGTGTCTTCTTGTTCTTTGATTCTCAATGTAAGTCTATCCATTTCAGCACAGTCCAGTATTTTCTTGATTATCTCTTCATCCAATGGTGTTTTTTCATTTTTCCAGTGCTATGCAAATACAGTTCTCGCTGCTGTTAATACATGTAATGTTAAACATACACTTTGTTTATCAATTTTTTTCTGGAATTATCTTCTTGTTGTGCCATATCCGTTATCGGACGTTGGCGATCATGTTGGCGATCCTGTTTTTATCAGCAGCCGCACGAAAAAGTGCTGCTGAGTTTTGTCCAAACCAGTCCCTTAGATTTTGAAGCCATGATGTTCTTCTTCTGCCTGGACCTCGTTTGCCTTCAATCTTTCCCTGGAGGATTAAATAGAGTATGCCGTATTTTTCTGGATGTCGTATCACATGTCCGAAATATTCTAATTTTCGTTTTTTGTTTTGATGATTTCCCTTGGCTTTCCCAGGCGGCTTATCACCTCCTCATTTTTGATCTTGTCAACCCAGCTTATACGTAACAGCCGCCTGTAAATCCACATTTCAAATGCTTCTAGTCTCTTCAGGTGGCCTTCTGTCAGAGACCAACTCCAGTCTACTCCATAGAGCAGGATAGAAAAAATATAGCATCTGACAAGCCTGATTTTCAGTCCTAGGCTTATTATTTATTATGCCTAATAAAAAAAGTTCAAGTTTAAAATTATGTGTTTCCCTAACATCTTTTCTAACCAAGTATGTGTTTTTGTCCAAAATATTTTTGCTTTAATACATGTCCACCACAGGTGATAATATGTACCAGGATTTTGATTACATTTCCAGCATTTACTAGACATATTTTTAAACATTTTTGCTAATCTGACAGGTGGAAGATGCCATCTATAAAACATTTTATATACGTTTTCTTTATGAAGTTGCCATTGTCAATTTATAGTTTTTCCCCCAAAGATTTTGCCATTTCTCTAATTCTATATTGTATCCCAAAAAAATTGCCCATATTATCATTGTTTCTTTCACTTGTTCGTCTTCCATTTTCAAATTCAATAAAAAGTTATACAATTTCTTAATCAGTTTTTCATCAGAAGTCAGCAATACCTGATCAAACATTGTCTGGTCTTTATAAAAACCATATATTTTAACATCTTTATCGTACCTCGATTGTATTTGCAGTCGAGGCCACCATGATAAGTCGGTACCCTGATCTTCTAACACTTGTTTAGATTTTAATTTCCCATCTGTATTCAGAATATCCTTATATGTTAGAATTTTCTCAAATTTAACTAAGTTTGGGTGAACAAATGCTTCCATCGTTGATAGCCATCCAGGAATTTTCGTATAGATTTTTGGTTTTATCTTTCCCTATACAAATAATAATGTGTTTCTTATGTAGTGGTTTTGGAAAATCTATGGGTTTTATTCTTTTCATACCATAAAAATGCGTGCCATCTAAGCAAGTCATGTCCTTCTAAATATAGCAACCTTTTGTTTCTCAGGGTTATCCATTCTTTTAACCATGTTAGAGCACATGCTTGGTAATGTAAGACCCAATTTGGTAGTCCAAATCCTCCATTTTTTTAGCTTCTTGTAACGTTTTCAGTTTAATTCTGGCTTTCCTTCCTTGCCAAATAAATTTCAATATCAGTGTATTCAAATCATCAAAAAAGTTTTTCTCTATTTTTATAGGTACTGTTTGAAATAAAAAAAGGAATTTTGATAAAATATTCATTTTCACAGTAGCTATTCTTTCTAACACTGATAGTTGTAAGTTTTTCCATTTTTCCAAATCTAATTTTGTTTGATTTAGTAATTTTATATAATTATCTTCTTTTATTGTTGCACATCTTGCCATTAAGTATATTCCCAAATGTTTAACTTTCTTAACTATTTGTAAGTCTATTTTTCTGACAGTTGTTTTTTTTTCTTATCTGTAAGGTTTTTAACTATAACTTTGATTTTTTTCTCTGTTTATTTTCAATAAAAAAAATTGAAAATAGCAGGATGAATGTGAGTTCTAAACAATGTCTTGTGATAGTCCTCTTTTATTATTCCACAGATAATCCATACTGCTTAAGTTTAATTATTATTTTGTCTTAAATTTGAATTGTGACTTCCCTAATAGAAGACTATATACTGTACACACTAGTTAGGGTAAAAAGTTATTTCAGAATGTGCTCAGATGGGACTTGGGAGCTTCATCGCTAAAATGGTTTGTCTCCTCTGTCAAAGTTTTTCTCAATAAAGTTTTCTTTTTGATTCAGATTAAAAATACTAAGAACAAGGGTTGTGTCACATATTCATTTTATATACAAAATGTTCACTGGAGGAAATAACAGGTTGAAAATAACAGGTTGAAAATGTTTGTGATAGAATATATAGTCCATCGCAAGAAAATAGTAACCATTTTAGTTCCTGCTGAACAGTAATATATCTTTGTATTGTTAAAACTACATACACACATGCTTTTATTAATTGTATTTATCTAGTTAATATATCACTATAACAAGAACAAAATAAAACTTACATAAAAATTATTTTAAGAAAGAGATAATGTATTTCCATATTTGTGTATGACTAGTTAGTCATTTAAAATAGTTCATATGTCTTAAGTAAGAAAATAGTTTTCACTTTTGGTTTAAAATAAAAGGCTTATATACTTCTCCAAAATGACAAAATCTAAATATTTAATATGAGTCTGGTATCTTCCTAAATAAGTTTCCATCATTTTGTTGATTTATAAGTATAAAACAGGAACTATACAAATTGCTTTGTGATTGCCTTCCTTAAATATCTGGCTGATCATGATTGAAATCCTGATGCTGGATTAGATAGATCTTAATTAATTTTGTGGAACTTTTCATTCTTAAAGATGTGAATAAGTGAAATAGGCAAATAGCATAACTATAGCTCTTGGTTATAACTATAACATCAGAAATAATTTTCTTTCTATTTTGTTCTGATATTAATATTTACCAGGACAGGATTTTAATAAATCTAAAATCCTACAAAGATTTTTAAAGATTGGGTTATTTAAAGTGCAGCTACATTGGAATATGATCACCAAAGAATCAGATTACTTAAGCCAGTTTTTGTGCAGTTGCATAAGAGATACTGTGCTTTGTTTTAACTGATACATAGCCCAAAACAGTGATGGCGAACTTTTTAGAGACCGAGTGCCCCAAAACTGGCCCTGCCCCTGCTCCGCCCCCTGCCCCATCCCCCATCCCGCCTGCCCGCAGGGCCATTCACCACCTCCAGGGCCCACTGCAAATCGCCCATGCAGCCCAGCAGCGCCATGGCAGCCACACTCTCTGCCCACGCCCCACAGCATCAACTGTGCGCGATGGGACATGAGGGCAGAGTCTTGTGAATGCTGCCTGGCTGCCATGTCCTTGGTTGCGCTGCTCTGTGTGGACCACATTCGGGGGCAACGCTCCTCCAGGGGGCTGCTGGTGAGGGGGTCGTGGGGGGAGGCGAGGCTGGGGCAACAGCACGTGTGCCCACAGAGAGGGCTCCGAGTGCCGCCTCTGGCACCCGTGCCATAGGTTCACTACCACTGCCCCAAAAGATCATTGTTTTTCCATTTTACTTTTTGTGTCCTTAATTTTTCTTAATTTTTCATTAAATTAAATAAATAATGATATTATCTTGCTTAATACACAATCTCTGTTTTCCTGATTCTGCAAACATACATAAAATATGTTTTTATGATTTTCAAATAGTACCTTGTTAATAATGTTTAAAATCATAACATTACTATGCTTTTATATCTAGATCTCCACTATTGCAGAAAGTGAAGATTCACAGGAATCTGTGGACAGTGTCACTGACTCCCAGAAACGAAGGGAAATTCTTTCTAGGCGACCTTCTTACAGGTATGAATGTAATATTGTAATGCCTGCATTCGGTAGGTCAACACATGAAAAATTTGCTAGATGTTACATCCTATAATTAGAACAGGGGTCTTCAAACTTGGCCTTTTTATGACTTGTGGACTTCAACTCCCAGAATTCCTCAGCCAGGCATGCTGGCTGAGGAATTCTGGGAGTTGAAGTCTGCAAGTCATAAAAGGGCCAAGTTTGAAGATCCCTGAATTAGAATATAGTAGCAGGCAGATCTGGAGTATGGATCATGACTGGGCAGCATGGACTATAATTGGACTGTAAAGTGTAGCATTCAGTTCCATCTTACATAGCATGTATATGCTGCTAAGTCTCTTCAGGGAAATACTATGGTAGGATGATTGGTTACTTTAATTAATTGTTTGCAAGCAAAGTGGGAAGACATAAATTTGTGTATGAAATAATCAGTCAGATTAATTGTAAAGTGTTAACAGTGTTATTTGCTGTATTATTTCAAGCACAGTCTGTCTGTAAAAAAAAGTTCCACGGCATTTTTTTTTATTGAGAACCAGTGATCATCAAATAATCAGATTACTAAAGCCAGTTTTGTCCAGTTGTGTAAGAAATATTGTTTATTTTAACTGATGAATACCCAGAAAAGATACTATATGCCCTTTCTCAGTAGTTTACATCAGATTTTTCTTATATTTTCTTAGAATGTATGCATGATAAAATCAGACCAGTTGCTTTTCATTTCAGTGTAATAAAATTCAGTCCAATATTTTAATTGCTATGAAATGGGTGGAATGGAAGACTTATAGAAAGGAACAAGTTTATTGATTCTCCATTGAGTTCCTGGAGCATTTTAACTTCTACAAGTAACAGGAAGTAAGGGTTAGATCTGAGAAAGCTTAGGATTCAAGTCTAAACTTGTGGTCTGTCAGCAAGTCCTTGACAGTGCCAGTTTGGTCCTCACCACCACCACCTCTCTAGCAAATTTGTATCAGTAGCTGGAAAATGCTATTCTATCTCCAAATTCTGTTCTTGAGATAGCATAAAATGCCCTCAATTTCTTAATTCTCTTAATTACTTGCTTACAGCTCTGATTAATCTTACCTGTCTTTATCTTTGCCACTCTCATATTTTAACCACTTTCACTGGAAATCTTGTAGCTGCATAACCATTTTAACTTTGGTATCATAGTTTCATGCTTATTCCCTTAAGTTTTTACTTCCTAATCTGCTTACTAAAAGTCATTTTCTTAGTACTTATTATTTATTTATTTATTTATTATTTAAATCGCGTCATCAGATAACCGCCCGGCCACCCTCTTCAGGGTGACCCGCTCTCTCCTCCAGTTGAGGGAGGGAGGGGATCCCCTGGAGGGGAGGGCCGAGGACTTTGCTCAATATCTGTATGACAAAGTCGCTCGGATCCGAGAAGGCCTTGACTCTGACTGGGTGGCCCCAGGGGAGGAGACGGGAGCAGGTCTTGAGACTGTTGTATGGGAGGAGTTTGACTCTGTGGCTCCCGAGGACGTGGACAGGATCCTGGGGAGGCTGAATGCAACCACATGTTTACTGGATCCGTGCCCCTCCTGGCTGGTACTGGCGGCTCGGGAGGGTACACGAGCCTGGCTCCAGGGAATTATAAACGCTTCTTTGCGGGNGGGGGAGGAGACGGGAGCAGGTCTTGAGACTGTTGTATGGGAGGAGTTTGACTCTGTGGCCCCCGAGGACGTGGACAGGATCCTGGGGAGGCTGAATGCAACCACATGTTTACTGGATCCGTGCCCCTCCTGGCTGGTACTGGCGGCTCGGGAGGGTACACGAGCCTGGCTCCAGGGAATTATAAACGCTTCTTTGCGCGAGGGTGCCTTCCCCGCGGCCTTAAAGGAGGCGGTGGTGAGGCCCCTCCTTAAGAAGCCCTCCCTGGACCCAGATGTATTGGTTAACTATCGCCCGGTCTCCAACCTTCGCTTCGTGGTGAAGGTTGTTGAGAGTGTGGTTGCGCAGCAATTCCCTCGGCACCTGGAGGAAACAGTCTATCTGGACCCGTTCCAGTCGGGCTTCAGGCCGGGTTACAGCACGGAAACGGCATTGGTCACACTGGTAAATGATCTCTGGAGGGCCCGGGACAGGGGTCATTCCTCTGTCCTTGTTCTTTTGGACCTCTCAGCGGCTTTTGATACCGTGGACCACGGTATCATGCTGCGACGTTTGGGTGAGTTAGGAGTGGGAGGCACTGTTATGCGGTGGTTCTCCTTCCTCACCGACCGTACGCAGTCCGTATTGGCAGGGGGACAGAGGTCGACCCCAAGGCCCCTAACTTGTGGGGTCCCACAAGGGTCGGTCCTCTCTCCCCTTTTGTTCAATATTTATCTGAAGCCGCTGGGGGAGATCATTCGTGGCTTTGGGGTGGATTTCCATCAGTACGCTGATGATACTCAGCTGTACATTTCCACCCCAGGCCACCCCAACGATGCCCTTGACGTGATGGCCCGGTGCCTGGAGGCCGTAAGGGTCTGGATGGGGAGGAACAGACTCAGGCTCAACCCTTCCAAGACTGAGTGGCTGTGGCTGCCGGCGCCTCGGCATAGTCAGCTGACTCCATCGCTGACGATAGGGGGCGACATTTTGGCTCCCTCAGAGAGGGTACGCAATCTGGGGGTCCTCCTGGATCCACGGCTGACACTGGAAGACCAGTTGTCGGCCGTGACCAGGGGGGCGTTCTATCAGGTACGCCTGATTTACCAGTTGCGGCCTTTTCTGGACCGGGACGCCTTGCGCACAGTCACCCATGCCCTCGTCACCTCCCGCCTGGACTACTGTAAT